AAATTGGGGGAAATTTTCCTTGAAATTTCTTTAAACAATCGGGAAGAATTTTCGTTGACATTTAATTCGAAGACCGGGGACAAGTTTTCTCGAACTTTATCTCAGAAATTAGGGTAACCTTTCTTTCAAATGTATTTTAAGAATTAGGAAAAATTCCCTTCGAAATTTATTTCAAACATTCGGCAAAATATTCCTTGAAATTCGAATTTTCTAAAGTTTCACCTATAACTTTCGGAAATTCTATTTCAACTTCATCCGAGAATCTCTTGGAAATTTTCTTTCAGCTATTTTCAGAATTCTATCGAAAGCTTTTTGGGAATAATTTTCCACGAGATATATTTCAAAAATTCACGACAACGTTCCTTGAAATTTTCCAAAGTTTCTCTCAGAATTTTCCAAAATTTCATCCAACAATCTCCTCAAAATTTCCTCTCAATATTTTAACACCACGATCCGTCGAATCTCCAATTATCCTCGTGCAGCACCTGCAAACTTTGAATCCTTCAGGACAAAATTCATTTTAATCGAGGACACAAATTGATGCTGCTTGTTGCTCAGAACTTCTTGCATCTCTGTATCCACCTGCTGCGAACAAAGTTTGCATTGTTACGGTACGCGACATAATTTCACCAACGTGCAAAAAGAGATTTGTGTGTATTAAAGGGAAACTGGATGTTTCCAAGTAAATTCAAGTAAACTGGATAAAACCAATTAAATAATAAACTAGGAAATTCACGTGTTCTTCTTCTCTGTTCTCTGATTCAGGAGCTGAAAAGCTGGCTCGATTCAGCTGATCACGGATTAGTGTACTTCACGTTCGGCTCCATGCTGAACATCGAAACGTTGCCAAAAGAGACGCTGTTAAGCTTGTACGCGTCTTTCGCGAAGATTTCACCAGTGAAGGTTTTAATGAAGTGTGCCAACACCACGAAATTACCTCCTAGCCTTCCTAGTAACGTGATTACCTCACCTTGGATTCCTCAGGTTGCAGTGTTGGGTAAGTGAAAGACACTTTTTGGAAAATTGAATTTAATTTACTATCTACAAACTCAACATCCACGTGTTTCGTTCTTCCTTCGTTTCATTTTGTCGTTTAATTTCCCTACGCTTCGAACATAATTTTTCCTTTTTCGCTCTGCTTAAAATTATAATACTTTCTGGGCTTTTCTCCTCTTAGCTTTTTTATGGTTCAAAAGTAATTCAGTGGCTTCACAAGAAGAAGACAATAACTAAGGATAATACAATTTGGACGTTTCAGTGTTTTTTAAATCAGTTGTTTATATTTTTTAAAATAATTTTGGACCAGTACTTCTACTGAAAATTGCACCGTTTGGTACTCGAAGCACTGTAGCTTGGACCTCTTCAATTCCTGCAAATGTTCTCCTTTAATTTTCTTACTTTAAATACACTTGAAGTTGTTTTCGTATCCTTCGTTGCACTTTTAATTTTCCGCGGTTTCAAGGTATTAGGTCGTTGCACGTGACAAAATAAGCTTCAGAAAATTCTACACTTTTTTGCTAAAAAATTACAAGTGAATTCAGCCTATTACTATTAAAATCTCAATATTGGCAATAAATTCCTCAAACACATTTTTAATATTTAATAAAATATATTTAGTCCTATCCCCAATACTGTATTAATATTCTGCATTACCTCTGATTCGCTCTATGTGTCTCAATTTTAATTCGTAGAAGATCACCGGAATTTTATTGGAATCCATTTCCTACTTTCAACGTAGCAAAACAAGTCTTGCATTTAAAACAGTAGACTGTCCTAATTTTATCTTGCCATATGAGAATAAAAAGAAAAGGGAACTGTTATTATAAAAATCTGAATACTGGCGAAAAATTCCTCAAAAGCATTTTTCACTGTCGTCTCATTATTGAATACTTTTTTTTTTGCTTTGAAAAATTATCTAAACTAGCTGCATTACTACGAGTATTTTGTATTATCTTTCTTGCACCACGTCTCAATTTTAATCCATAAAATAAAATCGCTCGAATTTCATTAAAATCCATTTTCTAACTCTAACATAACCTAACTTTTTCAGCGAAACAAGCGTCGCATTTGAAACAGCAGACTGTAGGTTTCGCTGTTTCATAATTTCCCACAATAGAAACAAGAAAGAATCTGCCAGTACGTAAAAACACCGCCATTTCATATGCAACCTGCCTAACAATTTTTGTTTCATTTTCGATTTGCTTTGAAATTAGTTTAAAAGTATAGTATAGTGTACACTACCGGCCAAAAGTTTGGAATCACCGAGCATTGCAATGTACACAAAAATTTCCAGAAAAAAGTCAGCGACTTTGAGAATATTTTATCGTTCGAATCAATTGATATGAGATAAATTGATAAATGTAGAACTGAGATAAACTTCAAGTCTATAAAAAATTAGCAGCAGATTTAATATTGATGAAAAGTGGGAGGTGATTCCAAAGTTTTGGCCGGTAGTGTATATACCGTATGCCTGTATCTGAGAAGCAACCGACCAAAGAGGAAAGTATGAAATGGAAGCACGAGGTCATCAAGATCTCGCGTGTAATTTCCATTTGGAGCTGGACTGAATTAAAGGATTACTCCGCGTATTTCTCACAGGACATAAAAATACGCGAGTATTCATTACGCACGGTGGCCTTATGGGAACCCAAGAAGCGATCTACCATGGAGTTCCTATGATTGGAATACCGGTGTTCGCCGATCAGATGAAGAACGTCAACATTTTGGTTCACAAGAAAATAGCGGTTTTGGTGCCTCTCGAGAATATCACCGAGGGTTCCATGGACGAAGCTTTGAACGCAATTCTGCATGATCGCAAATACAGGTGACACTTTGGAAATATCATTTTTCAATTATGAACAGAATATGGAAAATCGAATTTTAACCCTTTGAACATTTTCTTTACTTTTGATCGTAACTTGAACCTCGACTTATACCGACTTTCTTTTGTCACAAAAATGATAAATGTTATTGATGTATTAGGTATATTATTTCTAATATTTCAATTATATTTTTTACGTTTACAAGTATGACATGAAGTGATAATTTAACACTAAAACTATCGACCGGGTCAAAATGACCCATTAGCATCTTTCGAAAAAACGTGAATGTTCTATATTGGTAAGTATTATCGCTTGTGACTTTCCGAATTTATATTCTACATGTATGCTTCCATTTGTATCGGTATGAATCGAATTTTCCAATCACGGTTTACTTACATAAAAATTCACTTTTGGAAAGTTATAGTACAGTTATAATACAGTTGAGCTTGATTCGTACAAAGAATCAAGCATGCAGATTTTTCAGATGAAATATAGGAAAGTGCTCGAGTTCAAATATAATTGAATCTAATTGACATAACACAAGAAAATTAAATATACAGACTATTCACAATTGCTCAATTTCAAATATAATTGAATCTAATTTACATAACACAAGAAAATTAAATATGCAGACTATTCACAATTGCTCAATTTCAAATACAATTGAATCTAATGAAAAGTTAAACGTGCAGATTTTTCACAAAAACTGCTCCATTCCAAATACAACAATTAATTCTAATTTACACAAGAGTCGAAACGTTCAAACTTCCTCCACGAAACTCACGAATTACTGAAATAAAATAAAGAAGAATATAAGAAATAATCGAGTGTCACATTTGTTTCAGCGAATCCGCGAAAAGGGCGTCGAGGATATTCAGAGATCGTCCATTAAGTGCAATGGACACTGCTTCGTTTTGGATCGAATACGTGATCAGAAATGGACCTGACAGTTTGAAATCACCTGCGGCCATTCTACCCTGGTGGAAGCTGAACCTGATAGACGTATTTGCCTTCCTAATCGCGTGTCTCATCCTCGTGCTTTACGTCCTAGTCGCTGTTTCGAGATTTCTATTGAAAAATCTGTACAACAATAACGCTCGAACGGAAAAGAAATTGAAGTGAATAACACACGGTGGATGAGAAAAAAGAGAAATTCAGAGATTCTACTTTGCCGGTAGAAATTAGATGTAAATTGTGCAACGAGAAGAAACGAAGATCCTACAATAATTCTTCTTTTTTATTTATTACACTTTTAACCCTTTAACCTACAACAACGTGTCAGACTCGTGGCAGAGATTCTTGTGAAGATGTGAGAAAAATATTATGGTTATGTAGTATCGAGGCCTCCATAGCCAAATACGAAATCTCGAAGGGAGAATAGAGAGGGAGTGGTTGGCGTAGCGCGCAAAGCCTCGGCTTGCTGCTAAGCCCCGAAGATCCTGAGTTCGATTCCTGTTGGGTCTGTTACGAATCGCAATGTGCTTCTTGCGAAACCGATAATTATTGTTCCACTTTTTGAGTCAGACCAATATAACCAGTTAACTGCGGAATTTCGTTTTAAAAATCTGTAGTATCGGGGCCTCCATACCCAAATAGGAAACCTCGAAGAGAGAATAGAGAGGGAGTGCTAAGCCCCGAAGATCCCGGGTTCGATTCCCGATGGGTCCCTCAGTATTTTTTCCGTCGGTTCCTACAAATGGGGGCTCGTCCGAGATGGAGGCATCTACGGCTGCACGAAGCCCCCCAGGCGCTGTGAGATGAAAACATCTCGAGGGTTGCACATCTCCCAAAAATGTGCCCGAAAGTGTTGAGTTGTGTTGCACTGAGGACATTCGAGGGCAAATGTCAGTTCAGGATGGCCGAGTGTAATATCGGGGCCTCCATACCCAAAAAATAAGAACCGGCACGGGAGAATAGAGAAGGGAGTTGGTCGGCGTAGCGCGCAAAGCCTCGGCTTGCTAAGCCGAAGGTCCCAGGTTCGATTCCCGTTGAGTCCCTCAATACTTTTCCGTCGGTTCCTACAAATGGGGGCTCGTCCGAGATGGAGGCATCTACGGCTGCACGAAGCCCCTCAGGCGCTGTGAAATGAAAACATCTCAAGGGTTGCACGTCTCCCAAAAATGCGTTGTTTCGGCTGTGGGCCACTGTGTGGGAGAGTGTGCCCGAAAGTTGTTGGTGCACTGAGGACATTCGAGGGCGAATGTCAGTTCAGGATGGCCGAGTGTAGTATTGGGGCCTCCATACCCAAAAAATAGGAACCGGCACGGGAGAATAGAGAAGGGAGTTGGTCGGCGTAGCGCGCAAAGCCTCGGCTTGCTAAGCCGAAAGTCTCGGGTTCGATTTCCGTTGGGTCCCTCGATATTTTTCCGTCGTCGACTCCTACAAATCCCTCATGGGATGCATAATTAAAATCAAGCAATGACGAGTGTACACGTCGAACGCAGTTAACTGGTTAAGGAATCTACTCGGGATAGGGGACTCGGGTAGTGCACGGAAGATTGACTATTAACGCACAGCAATTTGCTATTAAAACTATGTATTTGTAAATGAACGTGAACAGAGCGCGAAATGTCTAAGTATACCGATCGGAAAATTGTATGTCGTGTCGTGTGGTGTTCGCTATTTTATAACGTGTGTGTTGTGATTGGTGGTGTGAAGCTGTCGTAGGTGGTGATTGGTTTTTTCGGTGTGTCTGGTGGTGGTGTGAAAGTGGTGTCGTGTCGTGTGGTGTTCGCTATTTTATAAACTACGTATGTGTTGATTGATGGTGTGAAGCTGTCGTAGGTGGTGATTGGTTTTTTCGGTGTGTCTGGTGGTGGTGTGAAAGTGGGGAATTTGTTCTTACATTTGTTACATT